CTCAGTAAACAATTTTCAAATTTGAACGGGGCAAATTTTTGCTCTTAGTAGTGGTTCAGTTCAATTTAAAAATGTGCGACAAAAGCTCGGCAGCCTCTCAAAGTATCAAGTGTTTTGATGTGAACGTTTATTTTGCGAAATGGTAGGAAATAATCCATGCTTTTTGGTACTTATTAACCTTTTCAAATTTGAACGCGCAAGGTTTTGCTTTTTTCTAATGATTCAGTCTAATTTAAATTTGTGTTAGATAAGCTCGGCAGCTAAGGTATCAAGTGTTTCGATGTGAATGTTTAGTTTGCAAAATCGTAGGAAATAATCAATACTTTTCAGCCCTTAATAAAAAAAATCCAATTTGTATCTGCAAATTTGAATTTGTGTTAGATAAGCTCGGCAGCTAAGGTATCAAGTGTTTCGATGTGAATCCTTATTTTGCAAAATCATAGGAGATGATCAATACTTTTCAGTTAGGGTTTCACGTATCCACTCTTATAATACTTCTAATTCTTTTTAATATATATTATTGCCTTTATGTGCTTATTTATGTTGTTAATGTAAATGTTATAGCTAGGAATTTATTAAGGGGTGATATTTTTAAAGTAAAAATTTAACTAATTGTTGTTTACATATTTCTCATGCCTCTTAACAATAAAATTTCAAATAAAGCAGTTAGTCTGACCATGAGCTGTTACCTGCTTAGTAAAACTATCAAATTTACAGTTCTCAACATCAGTTGGTTTATTGAAATAATTTATCTTGTTTCAGCACAATATATTTATTACACAAATGTAAATGTTAATTTGAAAAGTATTACAAACAATAATAAATGTTTGAACTTTTGAAACCAAGAAAACAGTTATAAAATGGTCGTCTTGCTAATAAATTATTGTCAGACTAAAACGAAAATTGTGTAAATGAATAAATATTACGTCCAATTTCGGGGTCCGGTAATTACTATGTCAAGAAAGGAAAAATCATCTAGTATGTCTTAAAAGTTCTTTTACTTAAAATTGCAACAATTTTAGTCAAAACATTTTTTAAAATTAATTAATTAAAGAGNAAAGTATGAAGTCCCTAAATATGAAACTCCTAAGTATGAATATAAAGCACCAGCCAAATACGAAGGCTCCTATGGATACGAAGCTCCTAAATATGAAGCTCCGAAGTATGAATATAAAGCACCAGCCAAATATGAAAGCTCCTACGGATACGAAGCTCCTAAATATGAAGCTCCAAAGTATGAGAAAGGTTACGAAAAGTATGAAGAATATAAAGCACCACCAGTCAAGTATGAAAGTTCTTATGGATACGAAGTTCCCAAACACGAGGCTCCAAAGTACGAAGCACCAAAATATGAAGCCCCCAAGTACGAAAAAGGATATGAATATAAAGCTCCGGCCAAATACGAAAGTTCTTACGGCCACGAGAGCTCGTACGGTCACGAAGGTCACGAAGCTCCTAAATATGAAGCTCCCAAGTATGAAACTATGTATGAAGCACCTAAATATGAAACCCATAAGTACGAATACAAAGCACCGGTTAGTTCCTATGGGTACGAGGCTCCTAAATATGAAGCACCCAAATACGAAGCCCCAAAATATGAAATTAAATATGGATCTTCTTATGGTTATGGAAGTGAAGGTTACGGAAAAGCTCCAGGTGGTTACAAGCCTCCTGGTACTTACAGGGCTATGGATAACGACGATACCGACATAATGCCTACTGCCAGATCATCTGAAGTTATGCCGGCAGTTGGTGGTGAAGATCAGTCAAAATCACTGAAACAAGAAGTTCCCCCTCAAATTACTGATATGAAAAATACAGGCGAAAAATCCCTAACTGTTTCTGACCAGGCAGGCGGAGAAGTTCGTGACGTCAAGGATTCACCCGAGAGGCAGAGTGGTGAAGCAGTTGTGGGATTAAGCGCTCCCGCTTCCACTGCTTGGAGTGATGCAGATCTCGGAAGATTTGCGGATCAAGAAAACCTATTAAGAGCAACTAACAAAGAAAATATGGATGAAATGAATAGAAATAGAATGTCTGGTACAGGATGGTAATTTTGAGATTAAATATATAAGTGTAATGAGCAAAGATGTATAATGGGCCAACAGACTGAATCTGGTAACATTTTGTACAATAGTTTTTACGAATATTTAATTTTTTGTAATTTTGTATGTATCGAATAAAGCATTACTTAAATGTTGTTTTTTAGTGTCTTTTCAGTACTATAACAAATGAAATTTAAAAAGCAAATACCTGTTTAGTCGATTTCCCATGGTTTATGGACATTTTTGTATTTTTTCACTAACAATTTGAGTGTTTACCAAAAAGTGACAAACATTTTGACAACTTATTACCGAACCTAATAACATTTTCGTTTGTGGAATTGATTATGACAGAGATTGCAATAAATGTCAAATAAATGACTTTCAAGGCATGCATTCATATTTGCTTAATAGTGCATTACAACACTTGGAATAATTTGATGTAAATACAATTTAATTCAAAATATTTGTCATACCTGCAAAGAAAAATTTTGTTTCAAAAAACTGCTAAGATTACAGAAATACATACATTAAAAAATGTTTAATTCCTTTTGTTAAACCAATCATTCTCGTAGGGCAGCTAATCTTTTTAAACTTTTTAATGCTGATATCATAACTTGTTAATAATTTTTTTCAAAAATTCGTATTTTTTTAAGTTCCAATATTTGCCTAATAGCATATTTTTCTCCAAATGATAAATAAATCATGTAGTTAAAAAAAAAATTGGGAAAGTGGGTTTTCAAATCCCTTACAGTGATGTTCAACTTTAATACATAATCGCACAAATTGTTGCGATTGTAACAATTTTATGTTTGTATGCATGTACGTGATTGTTTTAACGTAAGAGTAATTCATTCCTATCAGCGGGAAAATTATTTATTTGAAAATAAAGTGGCTAAATTTCAACTACTCGCGAAATTATAAATAATAAAATAAAGTCAAACTCACTAACTCAAATCTCCTAAATGTAAACAATTATATTTCAATTAAAAAAAATCTAAAATTTTTGCTTTGCCTAGTATCAAACATATTAATTTTTGTTTTATGTAGACATTACTGTTGCCTACCTCTAATAACACTTACTATTTCAAATAGCGATGTTTGTGTTGTCTTCTCCTACCGTAGCCTTATAATCCTAATCCAACTGCTTTTTTTTACTGTTTTCCATAAAATAATATCGACTGTTACAGTGACAATTTATGGTGGTAAATGGTAAATTAATAGAAATTCAAATTAAAGAAAATTTATAAATTACGATTGCGTACACTCTCGAAAAGAAGACAGCCAAAAATTTGCAAGCGATTTTTTTTTATAGTTTGCGTTATTTTAAATCTTTTTAAGTAATAATTTGTTTAACAGCATATCCTGGATTATTTAATAAAAGATATAATAATGTTTGCATAATTTTATAAATGTACCTAGGTAGTTAAACGTAATGAATTCTTTTTTTATAAACAAGTGTACATTGTTAACATGAGATGTCTCCAAGTGTGTTTATTACTTACAAATATCGCTTAAGTAGTAATTTTTTTGCTGATACAATAAGCTTGTCCAGTGTTCATGACACTATACTGGATATACCTGAATATAAATAGTCATTTTAATAAAATTAAAAAAAAAAAAGTAATATGTAATTTTCTAATAATATTGTTGGCGCGAAAATTGTAGTTTTCTTTTCTTCTCTATTTTTTCAGTTGAGGTGCAGATTTGCCACTAAAACCAAAAGTAGCCTCAATCTGAAACTTAATGAAGGTTAAAGGCTTTTCAAAAACTCTCATACTTTTGAAGGCAGATTTATGGGGGTCGCCAAATAAGTGAATGGTCTGTTTCCTTCCAATTACAGTTAGCCCAACTAACAAAGTCTTAGGTTAGCAAAAAATAATAAACCCTAAATATATGTTTTCCAAATTAATTAACACAGCTTTTATAATAAGATACAATACCTACAAAGTATCAACTTTATAGTTTTGATTAATACTAGGTATTATGTCTTGTAGAATTTTGAATATTTTAAAGAGTTAACAATTTTTTGTTTATTTTTATTTATTTTTTATATTTGTTCTCAATTTTTCAGTTAATAAAATGCCAATTATTCCTTATGTAAATAATTTAAATACCTATTCTTACATATAAAAATCGACTTCAAGCCTTTATCTATACGTGTATCATTCCCTAATTTTCCATCCTTAGAAATGAAATATTTTCCTCAAATTAAAATAAGACCATTTTTTATATACAGCCCTTTAAATAAAAAAAAAAGAATCATTAGAAAGAAATTGCGTACCTAACAGACCGAGAAATCAAAGCATAATTGAATTGAGTACCTTTTCTTTAAATGGGTTGATAACAACTGTTACGAATTACGTTAAATTTTAGAAATTGTATTCATAAAATGCAATAAAACAAAATATGTTACATATTAGCTACATGTTACTTTTAACTTTAGTATACAATATACAAAATAGGTTGCTGTACAGTTGACTCCAATTCCTCTTTTTTCTGTATATTGCACAGTCGCTTTCGTGATGTCAAATATTAGTATATGTATTGCATTTTTATTTTCTGATGCTCTCCTATATTTATTCTCGTTGGTTAAAACATATTTATTTAGTGACTAATCGAAAGATGCATGTGTTGTGTTAAAGAAGATAAAGGAACTGTCTCAACTTTCAATCGTCCTTGCCTTTCACTTCGAGTCAGTTTGTTGTTTGCGTATTTGTGATGAATAGTGTACAATCTTCTCTTCATAAAAATGCCTTGTAAAATATTGATGGTTTAACGGAATTATCGCTTCATTCTGCATTATCTACTAATAAAGGTAACATTAATTTATCTTTTTCTTTAAATTGATGTGCTTTATTTGAAATATCTGGATTTAAAATGCAAATACAAAATAAAAAATACCTATTTTTATCTTGCATTTAAATGCTTTTTTGAGAAAAGCATTTTGCATTTTATTTAAAATGCTTTTTCAAACGTACTTTCTATTTGTAAAATGCAAAATACATTCTTGCCCTTAAAAGTTTTGCTAGTATCACCGATCAAACATGTAAAATTGCTAACATTAGTCATTAAACGTAGTAGAAGTTTAAGAAGGGGACAAAGAGACATTCCATGAATGCCCAAAAATTGTAAACTACCTTTAAATTGATAATATAAAATACTGGATCGATGTTGTTTTACGGGTTCAATGTCATGGTCCATGGAATTTTGAAGTTCCAAATTGATACCAGCAACTGTCAAATCACTACTTATCGTACCTTTAGCAAGGAACTACGAAATTCTATGAATTATGACAAAACAGTCCGCAAAACAATATCGAATTGATATATTTGTTTTCATTTTTAAAGTGCAATTTCGTGTTGCATAAAGCATTAAATTTTTTGTTACCATTGAAATTATGTTTATTTTATTATATTGTAACTAAAATAATAACCTCTTTTCGTTGGGTAACATGTGTTTTGATGAAAATATGTATTCACAAAATCGAATTGAATAATTCCTAATTTCTAGTTCTTACTAATCAATTTTCAAGTTTGAAACGGACAAAGTTTCGTTCTAGTGTTTCATTTAATTTTTTGTAGCAGGTTTTCGTTTTATGAATATGTGTTTTTGCGAAATCGAAAGAATTAATTTTTAATTTCTGGTCCTTATTAATAAAATCTATTTTGGGCATGCAAAATTTCGCACTTTACAATAGTGATTCAAGCCAATTTAAATTTAATTAATTGAATCCCACTTAAAATCTCAAACATTCAACTTCACGTAATCCAACGTGCTTTGCTTAAATACAAAATCAAGGGGTGTTTTTATTTAATGATAAAAAATATCTCTTACTTTGTCCAAATCGGATGCTTTTACAGTTTTTCTTGGCATGAACATAATTACAAAATTACTTAGCTATGAAAATTTCACTTTTTGGCCGAGGGGTGTTAAATGCGAATCAGGAGAGGAAATAATGGTGCAGTCTGAAACATTCCTTGCATTTTCTGTCTACGTGGGTAAGATTAATATTATCATGGAATTCAAGGCGTCTTTGAATATCTGAAACCTAAAAAATCTAGGTACTCTTAAAATAGTAAACGATTTTTCATTGTCATTAATTATTATAAGCTGATTTAAATTTCTTATTCTTCTTCTTTTTTCTTTATTTATACTATTAGTGGAGTAAACGTAGTCAAAAAAAGAGGCATTGTTTAGGAATATTTTGTAACTGCATAGATCTTCATAAAAACTTCAGAAATGTGTTCTAAACAGGTGAAAGTTTAAAGTCTGCCGACTGGTGTTGTACGCTAAATCTCTCTTTGTTTATCCATAACAAGAAACTGCAAAATTAGTTGTTAAATGATATATAAAATTAATTAAGGAAAAAGCATGAAAATGAGGTACTACAGGATTTTGGATAAAGAAATTCGAAGCGGTCAGTATTCCGTCGAAATTGTCAGACGCGGATCGCGACTTCGATCTTGTTGGATCTCATCAGCGCGTCGCAGACAGCTTCGACAGAACACAGACCAACTGCTGTCTTAACAGCGCGTTTTATGAAAACCTACAAATGGCACGGTAAACGTCATCTGTAATACAATGCCACATTTTACGGAATCAATATGTATCCAGGTGTAGCTCACCACTACGTGACAGGCACGTTACCATAATCGAAGAAAGAAATTCGGAGTGATCAGTATTCTGTCGAGACTGCCAGACGCGGATCGCGATTTCGATTTTGTCGGATCTCATCAGCGCGTCGCAGACGCAGACGCATTGTACTACAGATAGCGTTTGCCTCGCTATTTGTAGGATTTGATTAATCTAAAAATGTTTTTCGTGCTTTACTGGAGTGATTTTGAAAATTCGTTCATGTCTAGGAAAGTATGTTATTTCTGATTAACATAGGGCATTTTAAATATTAAATTAATAATTTAATGAGTTTTGCATCGCATTGTCGGTTTTAGTCTAGCGTAATGACCATCTCTTTCTCTCCGAATACTCACTCTCTCTTTGCTTGAACCCTTGAACAGTATCGCAACGCTGTTTTAATTTAACCATGAATTAAAAGGTGTTTTAAAAATTAAACTGTGGTTTTTAATGTTATAAAAAAGGTGTAGATTTTGTTACTTATACAGGGTAGTCCATTAAGTGTGCCTTGCTCTTTGGCGGTCTTGCCGTTGAAATTGGAAGTAAACAGAAAACGTTTCCAATAAAAAATGTTTCTGATCAAATGATTTATCTGCAGAAAATAATTTCAGAGATCGCGGACTTCCGGATATACTGGAAGTAGACATACATACATACATACATGCGGCTGACGTTGAAAAGAGCAGGAAACGCATTTGGCTTTCCATCTAAAAATTTCTATCAAAGCACATTAAATCATTGCATTAGTAATGTTCAAATTTTACGTATTCCAAACATCAATAACTCGTTTTTTTCAAATGTTCATTTTCACATCGTCGAATGCAAAATTAAACTCTCTTTCAATTTTATTAAAGCTTATTAGGGTCTACGCTTGACGGTTTTCAAAGTAATTGCGATTTGTTAATTGTTCTGTAATGTGCACAGAAAACGAATAGATCCTAGACGGCATGGGTCTATGTAGCCGAAAGCGCATTCTCTCTTGTTCATTGGAATTATTGATAAAATTACTTAAACTTAAAGTAGAACACTAATAATTAATGTCATAAAAGATTGCTGTGACTTCAGGAGCAGAATTTTCTCAAAATGGTTTATTGCCGAAGTGAATAAAACTCCGATATAAATAATACTGGGAACAAACTTTATTTACTATGAATTGAAAAGCAGACTGTATACTACTTAATTTTAATATCTTGGATATTGGTTTGAATTTTTTAGATATTCGACAATCTGCAGACGCTGTGAAGTCATGACGAAATCGTCAACAATTAGATAGTTTTATAACAATAACACACCGGCATTTAAGATCTGTCTGATGGATATTTGGGCCCTATAATTGGTCTGGCTGCTTACAAAAAGTATTAAGATAGGTCCCTAAGTATCATATTTAAAAATGAAGACTCAGACATTAAATAAAATTACGCTTTTTTTTGCCAGCTTTGAAGCGTTTGGCAGAAATTACCGCCTATGGGAAATGTCTGACAGTGTTTATTTTTAACAATATTCTGTGAAACATTATGTAAAAATCAGCACTCAGACTAACACTACTCTATTCCACTCATTTTGTTACATAGAAAATAAATAATATCTGGCGGCTCTAGGGTCTTGGATTATTATACGTAGGTACTTATGCAAATGCATATCTTAGGCAGTGCCAAATGTACTAGAGTGATTTTGAAAATTCTTGTATTTCTAGGAAAGTTACTGCTATTCTAATAGTAATACTATTAATTAATCTAAAAACGCTGCACTGCTAATGAAACTTTCTTTATTTAGTAGTTGCATCTGGATTTATTTTTTAAACAATCGTCCAAAATTGAAATATTATCTGATCCAGAATGCAACTTCAGTGCTTAAACAGAGATTTACAGAAAAACATATGGATACCTAAATATATTAACATTAACAAATAAACTATTATTTTAAGGGTTTTAAAGGAACACAATTTTTTT